GTGGTAGGCAAGGAAGTGCCCTCAGGAGACAGACTAAAAGGGGACATGGGATATGAGTTAGGGACCTGGCATCTCCTGGTGAGGCAGGGCTGGAGTGAAGGAGAGATGGTATGAGGAAAGCTCTAGGAGGGCCCTGATGACAACTGGGAACATCCTTGTCCTTCTAACTCTGCACTCAGTTCAAGGGGAAACTTCCAATCAACTTGGTCCGGAAATGGAAAGGGTTATCCCATGTGTGTTGTAGAAAGAAACCAGACTTCCAGTCTTGATACTGATGTGATCTTGGGTAAGTTACTTATCTTCTCTGGTCCTCAGTTTCCCCACTATAAAGGAAGGGGGATGACTATATGTGTTCTAAGATCCCTTCCAGCTCTCCTTCTCTGTCCCTTTCTGTGGTTGCCTTGCTCTTGGTACAGATGTGTTGCTTCAGTTCTCACTCTTCCCTCCAGTGCTCATGGCAGACAGAGTGAATCCATCCTGGCTTTTCCCTGCAAAGAGTGAATATTGCCTCAGAATTCTCCTCAACATAGTACTTGACCACTACTATTGATTAGAATACACAGGCAAGGTCAGCTTTGTCATACTTATTTGGTAAGACTGGAGGAAGCATTTCTTTCTCTGTTTCTCTGTCTCTGTCTCTCTCTCTTTCAACTACTAGGAGGCCATGGAATCTACCCAAGCAGGTGGACAAGCAGCAGTGTATTCATTTTAGATTAATTTAGAGAAGCACACTGGGAAATGCTTGGGCTGCTCCTTGCAACAAATTTGGAACCTTTTAAAAGCTTACATAAGCTGTAAAATCTCCCCATGGTGGGAAGTTTTTAGTAGTCACTGAAGGAAGGGAGAGGAGTTGACTCTTCCAATGTCACCATACTTTTGACCATATAACATATAACCATAACCAAAATAAGTAAGAATGACTCCAAGTAAAGGGGAATTTGAGGGTCACATTTAAGGTACTAACAACTTGAACTAAAATAACCCACTCTGATTTTTAGACTCTCCAGAGGAGAGACATGAGTGATAGTGAACAGTATAGGTCTTGAAGTCCACATGCTTCCACAGTCTACTCATCTGTCTGTGTTCCTTTGGGAGCTGACCCAGAACCTCAGGCAGAAGCTGGGCAGTGAAACATCGAGCTGGGCAGTGAGTGACCAGGTGAGCAGCACAGACAACCTGTGTTGGGATCCTGGTTCCAGCAGTTGCTAGTTCCGAGAAGCTGGGAAAGTTCATTGGTCTCCCTGTGCCTCAGTTTCCTGATCTTTAAGATAGGGATCATAATAAGATCTCCCTTACAGAGTTGTGAAGATTAACGGAAACATGCAGATAAGGTACCCAGTGACCAGCTCACAATACACTCAATAAAGTTTGGATGGTAGGGGCAGTGCTGCCTAAGGCTGCAGTAATTATTTTAAAATTGAAGCTACTCTTTTAATCTCCCTGCTTCGAATATGGCTAAAACGACCATCTATTTTAAAGCCATGGCTGAGGGTGGGTTCCAGAGTTCCTGGGACAGTCACCCAGGCTCCATCCCCCCACCTTTTTTTTCCTCTTCTTCCTTATGCTATGATCCTTTTGCACACAAATGCTGTCACCATCTAGGTTCACTGGAGAACTCCCTGTAGCCTGCCCCTTTTCATCTGGATGGTCTGCCACGGGATCGCCTAAATATCAACCCATAGAACTCCCCAAACCCTCTGGAGTTATTTTCTCTTTCAGAATCTTAAGACCACAGGATCATATCTATTTTCTGAAGCTGTAGAGACAGCCGCTCAAGGAACAGATTTTTCAAAAGGATACTTTATTCGATTAATTAGTCAATTCCCTTGTCGTAGATGTGAAATTACCCCTAAACCATCCCGACTGAGGAGACTCTTACAGTGAGAAGCACAGAGATGTTGGGTTGTAACAATAGGAGAGCTCATTTGCAATGCAAATAAGCAACCAGCAGGCAAATGAATCCTTATGGGAAAACCACTCTAATCATAAAAACCACTTGCTTTGGGGAGACTGCAATGTAAGGACAAGCAGAATCATAGCTCCATGAATCCCCTCTAATATAGGATATTAGAGAATTATCCAGGTAATTTTCTATGAAATTGCATTTGAGTGAAGCAAAATGCATTGCTGGGCAATAGATAATATCTTTAAAATTTCACTCCACAGTTGTAGACTGAATTATTTATGTTTGTCACTATAGCTATGATAGTTTGGAAATAAAATAGTCAGGCTTTTCTCCCTGTTTTTATTTGTAGGAAAACAAGTCATTCAAGCTTTTTAGTGATACAATGTGACTTGCTGTCGATGGCAGTTACGAATTTTCAAGCTCTGCCAAGCACAGGAGTACCCAGAAGGGACATATGTTTTCTCTGCTTTGTGTTCCAAATTTGCCTTAAAAAACATGCAATTATGTGAAGGCCTGATTTATATTTTCAAGGAAAAGCACAATAATGGCTCTGTTTTGTAGCCATGTTTCTCTAAAACGTATTTATATTGCTGCCTTTTCAAAAGAAGTTGGCTAATGATCATTGGATTTTTGATTTCCGTCATGACATATGAAAATTTGATGAGGTCTGTGAGATTTAAGAACTGTTTTTCTTAAGTGCAATGGAAATTTAGTTAACATAGTTTTGTACCGCAAGCCTGAAAAATACTTACCTTTCATCCGTTTCCTTATTTTTGTGGAAAGTGGGAGAAGGGGATGCAGGAAAAACTGCAATTTGTAGCTAGGATGAAACAGAAATGACCAGGATAACAAGGAGTAAACCTTGAAAGACTGGAAAGCTGTAGGCTGGTCATGAGTGTAGGAGGAAGCAGGGAGAGATAGAATATTTGCTGGGGATGGAGTGATGGCTCTGGGGAGAAAGTGAAGCTTTTTGGTTACATTTTATACTTAAATGAAAATTACCATAAAGCCCTTTATAAATTGTATAATCACTCTGGGTTGTAGATTTCATGCCCTTCATGATTACTATTAATGATAGCGTTCACACTACTCTGTCAGCAGCATTTCTAGTCAATTTATTGAGAGAAGATGAGCTAGTCTCTTTCTGGATTGGGGAGCCCCCTCCTGGGAGGTAGGGCAATTTTTTGTTGTTTATTCTCTTTCAGTAATGGAAATAGAGAAAGGTCAAAGGCCAATTTCACATAATAAGGGAGTTAGTGGACAAATAATTACACAGAATGGAGTGTCAGGAAATTTTGAAGCGAAGAGGAAAAGGTATCAGGGACAGTGGAAAGACAGAAGGAAGGATAACATATATGCAATGTTTTGATTGCCTTGTACAAATCTAGAGTCATTTTATTAGTTTAGGAATATAAATACTTTATGTAACATATAGGCTCATAAAGTATTTATATTGTATATTTAAAATCATAAAGGCTCAGAAAAATGCAATGTAAAAAAATAGAAATAGTAGCATGTCTTCTCCATAATTTTTCAATCTTAAGGGAAATAATTTTCAAATGCTTTAAAAAATTGTTTCACTCCCTGGCATTCACATCTAGGGTGCAGGAAGAGAAGTCACATGCTCTTAGAGATGCCGTCTTGTTAGGCCTCAGATTCACATACATTTTTCTCGTATGTATTGTGTGTAAGCCTGGTAAACCTCTCATCTGCTTTTTTGGATCTAGAGAAGGTTTGGTCCAAGATGATTTTGAATTCATTCAGTGGCCATAACTTTTGTTGGGTGAGTGAAATGGTCCCTCAGTGTGATGGAATCATCTTTCATACTATTGAGATCATTCCCACAGTGAGCTTTTTAATATTACCTTTTGGGTTCAGGTCTTGCCGAAAAAGCCCTACAGGGAAATTTTAATAAAATCTTCAGGTAGAGTGTTTTCCCATTCTAGAGCTAGGTTTCCAATTTTATTCCTTGATAAAAGCAAATAAAAAGTAATTATGGGATCATTCAAGACAGAATTTGAAAGGTACTTCAATTTTATAAAATGATGGGTCTCTCAATGGCTTTGGTGTCAGTCTGAGTTTTATGGTAAAGGCCACCACCTTGGAACCTTAGAGGCAGGTCATAGTGATTTCAGAGAATGATCCTATTGGGGAAATAGCCAATTCCATCCTTTATTATCTTTTTCAAACCTCATGAGATGATGCAAGAACACCAGAGCTTAACTTGGCTTTACCCACTGGTCACAGTTTATTCATTCATTCTAAGCCAAAAGTTTAGAGATTTTCAATAATGAAAGCCAAATTGTTGAGATAGTAGCTCAGAGACTGGAGGTGAGAGGAGGCATCCTCTGGTGGTCTGTTTATTGAGCTAAGGACAGGTGACTAAAAGATGGCCCATTTCCTTAACACCAAGAACCTCTAGCCATAGCTTCAGAAAATGTACCCCCCAAAAAGAGATTCCAGATCACATTCCCCTAGACCTGCCTCCTCCTGGTTCAGCCTGGGGTGAGACAGAATGGGGTGGGTTGGAGGGGGACTGACACAGAGGATGTGCACAGGATGCCTGACAGGAAAGAGAGAACCTTTGGAATATGATGTAGCAAAATATTTTCAGTCTCCCTTTGCCCATTTCTGTCCAGGTCATGATAAGTCTGTGCCTATCTTCTCCTTTCCTCCTACTACCTCACCACCTTTTCCTTCCTTCCAGCCCCGTCCAGCCAATTTTCCTCCAAAACTGGGCACTGAGGAGTCAGTTGAATTGGAATAGAAACTAGGAAAAAGGAGGGTTGAAATATCCTAAGAGTTACTCGGAGGCTCAGCTATCTCATTGGCCTCTCATAAAGAGAGAAATTATGGGTTTCCAGAAATTGCATCTTATGGGCATTATCATTAGTATTATGTGTTTTTAAATTTATTTTCTTTTTGTTTTGATGAGATCGAACATCAAATGACCCTAGAAGAGCTACAAAACTTAAGTGCACTCTTTCAGGTAGGAATTGACCAGGTGAGCTGTCTAAATATTCATCTGGGTAATTCGATTCTCTTTGATGGTTGATTTTTCAGTGAAAAGTATAATCCTTTTAATTCCTATAAAATAGCAGTGAGGAATAAATTTGCCTTAATTGTCATCTTTTAATGGAATTAGAAACAAGTTGTGAATGCATCAGAGAAATGAACAAAAGGGATACCGTGTGAGAAGTTGACAGGGTTTAGGTAAGTCTAATTAGACATTTGATCTTTTGGGCTCTTGCTCCTAGACTAAACAAAATGCAGCTATGTTAATCATTAATTATTCTTTTTCCCTCCTAGGAGTATGAAAAGAGAGGAAGACAGCTGCTGGACGTGGAAACTTTCAAATGCATAATGAAACAGAGTATGAGGTCACAGAATAAAGTAAATGGATTTTATAAATGTTGGATCATTGAAACCACAGTTAAAACTTTACCTGTATGAATGAATTGGGCTTGATGTTCTATCTGTAAGATCAGTCTCAGCTCTAAATGGTGATTTCTGCTAGTATCTACCTGATTCACAGAACAGTTTAGTTGGGAAAATATTTTTAAATTATTGAGAAGATGCTAGACCAGCAAGAGATTTAGAGACTTTTATTGAAAAGGAGAGAAAGGCTCTTGTTCCATCAATAATTATTTCTGTAGACAGTCCCCGATTTATGATGGTTTGACTTTAAGATGGCGTGAGAGCCATGCATAGTTAGTGGAAACCACACTTTGAATTTTTATCTTTCTTCCAGAGCTAGTGATATGCAGGCTGATCCTCTCTCATGAAGCTAGACAGCAGCCACAGCACCCGGTTAGCCATGTGCTCACGAGGGTCAACAGCTGACAATACACTGAGAACCATTCTGTTTGTCATTTTCAGTATAGTACTCAACACGTCACTATAAAATAGACTCTGTTAGAAAATTTGGCCCAACTGGAGACTAATGTAAATGTTCTGATCGTGTTTAAGGTGGCCTAGGCTAAGCTATGATGTTGGTAGGTTAGGTGTACTAAATGCATTTTCCACTTATGTTATTTTCAACTTACGATGGGATTATCAGTATGTATTGCATCAAAAGTTGAAGAAGATCTGCATATTTGTTGTTTCCAAAGAGCATGGACCTCCTTTCCACACCCGATCTGCTGGCATGAAATAGTTTAAACATTCCCTCTGCCATATTGGTTAGCCCAGTTGTTAGCTCAGAATATGAAATCTTAATGAATGGCCATTCGGGCTCCTATAACAAAATACCACAAACTGGGTGGCTTACAAATAACAAATATTTATTCCTCACAGTTCTAGGGACTAGAAGTTTGAGATCAGGGTCAGGTGAGGGCTCTCTTCCAGGTTGTAGACTTCTCCTTGTGTCCTCATGTAGCAGAAGGGACTTGGCAGCTCTGAGGGATCTCTTTCCTAAGAACACAGATATCATTCACAAAGCCTCCATCCTCATGACCTAACCACCTCCCAAAGGCCCCACCTCCTAATACTATCACATCAGGCATTAAGCCTTCAACGTATGAATTGGGGTGTGGGGGACAAAAACATTCAGTCCATAGCAATAAATAAGATTATATTCCTCAGATAAAATATGTATTATAAAAGGAGAAGCTCTTTAAGCACTACGTGCTAAGGTTTCCTGATTGCATCTTAAATTATATATAAAAACAAACTCAAGGTAAAGCTCTTTGATCTTGTCCCTGGGATTTGAACAAAAACATGCCCCTTCTAAGTGCAAAGCCCACAGTTTTAATGACTACAGTACAAGTTTAGGTGTGTTTAAAATTTCTTCTACAATGAGAAGTGATCATTAAATGGAACCTATTTTTAAACAGTCTCCCCTCTATTTGTGCAATACTATACAAAGAACTTCTGTTGGGGGAAGAGATAGGAGTGTCTTAAATGGATAAATCCTTGGGTGTTTTGCCAACATTCTAGATCTTTTTAACCAAAGCACTCTAATTATCTATATTTTTAGAATGCCTGCCCACCTAGTCAGCCACTCATTCCCTTATCCTCTCATTCATTCATTCATTCATTCATTCAACAAATCTTTACTGGGGCAATATTCACTTAGTAAATATTTACTAAGGGGCTTTATTTTAGCCCCTGTGGCACACAGTCAGTCAAGATAGGGCCTAGAGCCACTCTAGAATTAAGCGTGGGTGCCATGGGGGCATGTCAACCACACCACTGAGTCAGGCCTGAAGGAGATAAATCTTGGGCTGAGTTTTGAGGAATGAAGGGAATTGCTCCATAAAGGAGGGACAGACAGGCAAGGCCTTCAAGAAGAGGAAACAGCATTCCCAGAGGCACAAAGGCAAGGACCAGCATGATGCCTGTTACATACATCTAGGGGAATGTGTGCAAAGGAATGTGGGACAAAGATCAGATTATTTGGGACCATTTGTACTAAGCTTAATTTTATATAGTATATCACTGAGGATCCATGAAGCCATGTCTTTCTTTGCTTATTTATCAAATAATTAATTGATTTTTGACTATGTGACCACACTGTCTTAGGGTCTTTTCATATTTCATTTCATTAGTCTCCAGAATATCATAATAACATCATTCAGAAGGCATTATTATTCTTATTTTGTAACTGGAAAGACAGAGGTTTAGAGAATCTGAATAACTTGCCTGAAGTCCCTACTAAGGAAAGCATTTGGGATTCAAACTCTGGTCTGCAACTAATGCACAATATGTCAGTTAAGATTATGTTCATCTACAGGGCGCCTGGGTGGCTCAGTTGGTTGAACGACTGCCTTCGGCTCAGGTCATGATCCTGGGGTCCCGGGATCGAGTTCCGCATCGGGCTCCCTGCTCGGCGGGGAGCCTGCTTCTCCCTCTGGCCCTCCCCACTCTCATGTGCTCTCTGTCTCTCTCATTCTCTCTGTCTCAAATAAATAAATAAAATCTTTAAAAAAAAAAAGATTATGTTCATCTACAGAGTGACAGAAAATGCTAAGCCACCAAGACTGAAGAAAGATAAAGATTTTCTCTCTCTGTCATGCAAAAAGTCAGATGGTCAAAGGGCTTCATGAAATCATCAGGAAGACTTATCCTGCTTTGCTTCTCTCCCACCTTCAGCATGTGGACTCCTCTTCATGGCTCAGGATGGCTGCTCAGACTCTAGCCAACATACTCTTATCCCAGGCAGCAGGAAGGGAGAAGGGGCAAAGAGAGCTCTACTCTTTCCCTTTAAGACAATTCCCAGGAGCTGCCTGTGACATTTTTAACTTTTTTAGTCAGAAATTAATCATGTGTCATATTTAGCTGCAAAAGTTGGCAGGTAAATGTGGTCTTTTTTCTGAGGAGGCCTGTATCCAGTTAAAAGGTGTATGTTTTTTAGTAAGGAAGAATAGCTAAGAGGAACAACTAACAACCCCATGTCTTCTCCATTATTCTGGGGTTTCATATTCTAGTACTGGCTAAAAACCAGGAAGTATCTCCTTTGTTCTTTCTAGGAAATGTTGACTTAGTCACAATTCAATGCCAAAAAGGGGAGGGGGCACTAAAGAATAACATTTAGGAAGAGCACAATGTATAGGGTGAGCATTTTAGACAGAGGTGGCATCTATAGGAACAGGAGTCTTAGTCCCCAAGTCCACTAAGCCCTTGGTTTTGGCGGGGAGAAGAGAAGGCAATGCCCCATTTTCTTATTTCTGTACCTTTGCATGCACAGTTCCCTTTGCCTAGAATGCTCTCCTCCCCTTTTTTGGCTTAAGTAATGACTGTCTCTGAATTCTGATTCTTTTTTTTATATTCCCAGAATCTAGCACCATGTGTGGCACATGCAGGTGCCCAATAAATGTTGAATGAATGAATGATGTTAAGGCAGTGCAGCCATTGTGGACTCGAAGGGGTCTATCTTAACTTTCCTAGAAGTCAATAGATGCTTCTCCTTTCAACTTGATAGTGGTCTGTAGTTACCTGTAGCATAGAACTAATCATTTTGCATTACACTGTTTGCTTGTTTGTGACCCCACTATACAGGGAATGCTGCGAGGGCAAGTAACATATCTCCCAGCTCTGAGGCCTCAACATCTGGCACAGGACTTGGCATACCATTGGTGCTCAACTTGTGTTTCTTCCATGAATGAATCAATGTGTGGAGGAAGTAGTCCAATGTTCCTCAGAATCCCACATAATCACGCTGAGAAAGCAGTACCTTGGGCAGAGCCTGTTTATGCATAGACACATGCCCCCCACCCCCAAAAAGAGACCATCTGATGGCACATGCCCTGCCTGAAGGCCAACTCTTGCCATGGCTTGTGACACTGCATGACCCTTGTCTGGTGTACCTTGTCTGGAGCTCCAAGATGCCCAGGCCTACCCAAAGCTCTCCCACGCTCTGCTTTGTGGTGACAAGGTGGTCTGAGTGGGCATCCTAAGCTCAGGCAGTGATTGCTTTCATCCTGAGTTTTCCTGTTTCCATTCCATCTGTGGCCCTACACTCTTCTTGAGGTCATCTCTCTGGGTGTTTTGGTTTGTTTGGACATTCATTTCAAAAACCTTTGTTAGATATTATGTGCATGGTATTGTCTAGTTGCCATGGTGAAGTCTGCACTGTCAGCCTCCCTCAGGAGTATATGTCTCCATCTGAGCATGACTTAGAGGGAAGTAGGGCTGAGCTGAAGTCTACAGCCAGGGCCTTTCCTTACAAACTCTACACTGACACTGAGTGTTGATTCACCAAGAGGCAAAGCCTTGGTGTCTTGAACATCAGGCCTCATCTTATTTTCTCCCTTTTACTGCTATTACTACACAATGGCAAACACTCATGGGACTTATAAGAGAAAAGCCAACATCTCGCTCTCCCAAATAGACATATAACCTTACTATTTCTGTTGAAGGTACCTTCTACATACATTCCTGAAATTACAGAATCTTGGAGTTTGAAAGGACCTTAGAGGTCACTTAGTATATAGCCCCTTCAATACTCAAATTTTCTTCTCTGCTAAGCCATGAGTCAGGATATGCTTGAATACCCTCAACTAAAGAAAACATAATGCCATGCAAGGCAACTCATTTCAAGGCTAGAGAGCTCTGACCTTAGAAACTTTTCTCCCCTTTATGAGCTGAAATTGGTTTTTATTGACATTCTACCCATTAGCTCAATTTCTATTCTTTTGAGCCACCATAACAAATTACCACAAACATAGTATCTTAAAACAAATACATATTTATTATCTCACAGTTTTTAGAAGTTAGGAATCCAATCATGACTTAGCTAGGTTCTCTGCTTCAGGGTGTCTCATGAGGCTGCAACAAGGTGGTAACAATGGCTTGGGTCTTATCTGAAAGCTTGACTGGGGAAGGATCCACTTCCAAGCACATAGGGTTGTTGCCATGATTCAGTTCTTTGCTGGCTGTTGGCCAGAGGCTGCCCTCAGTTCCTTGCCATGTGGGCCTCTCTGTAGGGCAGCTCACAACAGGGTAGCTGGTCTCATCAAAGCCAACCAAGGAGAGAGTCTGTTAGTTAGGCCAAAGTTAGGATCTAATCAAGGAAATGGCATTACCCTCTACATTAGGTATTCTATTGGCTATAAGCAAGCTACTCAAGGAGAGGGGATTACATAGGCCATGAATACCAAGAAGTAGGGATTATTTGGTCCATTTTATAATCTGCTTACTACTACCACACAGAAGTAATCTACTCTCCCTCTCATAAAATAATCTTTCTAATACTCAAAAATAATTTTCATGACTTGCATGTCCTCTTCTTTTGGGATACACCTAAGGGCACACCCTTACCACCCAACTATTGTCCTTGGAACTTTTTGTTTTGCTGTTATCTAAAGTGGGGTCCCTAAACACAGTCCAATCTTTTAGCTGGAATTGACCAGGGTGGAGTGGGATCTCCTGGGAGCACAGGGACTGAGAGACACAAAGCTCTTCATGCTAATTAGGGCTTCATTTCAAAAATATAAGTTCTACGATCCCCAGTCTCTCATGGGGGGAAGAGTTTTAGGGTCAGCACACTGACCTCCAACTAACAGTCCTAGTAATGTTTTGGAGCAGGCATTCCAGAGATCTTTGAGTATTATGCATTTTAATATAAAATTCATAAATTGGAAAAATTAAGATTTCCCCTCCTTCTGCATCCTCTCCCACAACAACTTGGTGAAGAGTTTACTCCTGTGCAGTCTATAAATAGATTTACTTTTTTCCTTTCCAGAATATTGAACAAATAGAACAACTTTTCATGAAAATAGACTATGAATCAGTGGGCAGAATTCAATGGGTAAGTTGGGTTATGTTTTCTAAATCAAATTTTGAGATTAGTAAGGAAAACACATAAAATGTTAGTTCTGAGCCTGTTCCTTTCTGGAGTATGCTATGCCCCTCAGTGCTTTTGTCAACTTGAAACTGAACCAAAGGGATATGCATGTTCACAATTTTCAAATTTTGTAATGTCAAATTATACTTGGAATAGTTTAACTAGGGATTTCCGTAGCTAAGTCAAGTTCTAAGAAGGGTTTCCTAAAACTAGGGAATAAAGGATACATTTGTCACCTTACCCCAAAGCAAACATGAAACACCAGTGAGCAAGAAATTCTACGAGCAAAAAAAAACACCTGATGATAATCAGATCAGTTAACACATGTAAAGTATTTAGAACAAGGAGAGTCACAAAGTGAATTCTCAACAAATACCATCATCATCATCATTATTAATATTACCGAATTTGAGTACTGTGATAATAAGGAGCTGAGACATCTGCTTTAAACATTCTCTGCCATTGTGTCTGTCAGTGCCCTTCTATTGTTTCAGGATGAATTAAGTTCTAAAATGACAACTTGAGCAGTAAGATACCTCTATTCAGACCTTGGGCCAATTCCCCAACCAAATCAAATGCAAGTGTTTACATTATCATCTGACTTGAATAGGAAGTCAGGATTCCAGAGAAGAGAAGGGAGGCTCTAATGAAGTGGGGCTTTGGGGGAAGTGGAGAGAAAAAAAATGTCCCCAGGCCCTACAGTATCCCCACCCTTTCCCTCTGACTGCAGACTTCTTTTCCCTAGTTGTACAGCTAAGATCCTAAATGAGGCATATACTGGTGGGTGGGAACTGTGAAGTCTGACCGATAAGGACTTCAGTCTCTGGTCAGCCACTGACTAGCTGTTTGATCTTAGGCAAGCTATTTAACCTTTCCAAATTTGTAAAAGGGAAGAACAATAGTCTCTATCTCATACAGTTTTCATGAGAATTAAAAGGAAGGTCTATGTTGCATAGAACATGGTATACTGTCAATCAAAACTACCACCACTATCCTCCTCCTCCTCCTCATCATCATCACTGCCGTCATCTTTAGAGAGAGAGACACTGGGGGTGGGGAAGGGAGCCCAAGCTGGGTAACAGACTTCCAGCCTCAACTGAACAGACACATCCCAGTTATTACCCTTGCGTTTTTGGCATGCTGATGAACTAGTGAGTACTAATAATTATGTCATGTCCAGGGAAGGAATTACCCATACTCTGATGGTAAAGAGAAGTTTTGAAAGAAAGGAATACAGTAGATGTTTAATGAATTTTCCTTTATCCTCCAGGATGGCTTCTGCACGCATCTACAGGTAGAGTATTCAGAACAAGCGGATGCTTTGGCCCGACAGAAAGAGGTTTCCTTCCAGCTGCCTGCTGTGCTGCAGGGGCTGTCATATGGGGGTCCCGTGCTGCACATTCTCTCTATGCCTGATGACACCTTAATCATGATCAGAGAAGATGGAGTGATTTATTTCTGGTCCCTGCAGCTGAAGTTGAAAAGAAGAAAGAGAGTTTTTGTATGTGATTTTCATTTGATAAGGATGCTGAGTGCTCCGGTTTGATTTTATTTGCTATTTTAAACTGCTCTTCAAGTGGTATGATTACAGAAATTGTGTCCTTGAATGTAACATATTCATGTTGGCTTTTGCTAGTCTATAGAATGCAAATCAAATATGATCTCTATATGTAGTACAAGATAATGCTTCATTTTGCTTCTAAAATCAGATGGAGTAATGAATTACACATGACTCCATCATGTAATTTATCATATGTCTTAATGAATCACAAACGGAAAAGAATTTCCCATTGTTTTTTTTTCCTGTTGATGATTATTTCAGTTTAGGCAGCTATGCTAGGGTTTGTCTTCTTATTGAATCACAGAATCAGAAATTCAGAAGGCAAAAAGCATTTGGGAAGTAGACTTAGGATAGGAATAAAAATGCCTGACCTGTTCCAGAATATATCCTGTCTTTAGAGTCATTTCTTTTTTTATTATCTCATTCAACAATAGTTGAGCCCCTGACATAGCCTAGGCTCTCTGCTGGGTACTGGGAAAATAGAAACCCATCTCGGCCCTCTGGAAACTTATCATCTACACTAGAAGTTACAGCTATCCTAGACCCCTCAGGCTGCCAAATAAGCCCTCCTTAGAGCGAGGGAATAAAGGTGGCTCTTTGAATCTAGCAAGTTCTTTATACTTGAAGGAGAGCATCAATTTTTATTTTTTATTTATTTATTTTTTTTTTAAAGATTTTATTTATTTATTTGAGAGAGAGAGAGAACACATGAGAGGGGATAGGGTCAGAGGACGAAGCAGACTCCCTGCTGAGCAGGGAGCCCGATGCGGGACTCGATCCAGGGACTCCAGGATCATGACCTGAGCCGAAGGCAGTCGCTTAACCAACTGAGCCACCCAGGCGCCCAGGAGAATATCAATTTTTAAAAAAACTCTAATCTTAAAGATGTTTATTGTCAAACTGTCTTATCATTAAAAAGGGATATTCTTATTTATTTGCACTCTTCAGCACATTAGGACGAGTCCATGAGTCGGAAGCCCAGGTGGGTGACAGATGTCATCAGCATGCCACAGTACAACAAACTGATCATAGGGACTGGGTGAGTGCCTGCAGCTCTTCAGTTGGAAGTAAACAATCCTTGTGTTATGAAATTCATTTCCATGTGTCAGTTTACCCAGACACATACACATCTGTGGTATTTAAAAGTCATGAAGCCCCTTTTAAAACATGCTAGAACTCATAATATCAGTCAAAGCTACTTTACAAAGTTAGGGTCTTTTTGGCCCCTTGCAATGATGTCATTGCCTCCAACACCGACAGAGGCCCTCTCTTGGAATACTTCCAGAGTGAAAGTATGGGCCAATGGGGAAAAAAATCAGTCTTGTGACCTTTTAGCACATTTTATTTCAGATTCAAAATAATATGCCTATTTTATTATCCACCAAAATTCAATCCATAGTGCTTTGGACTGATTAAAAAAAAAATCTACAGTAAAAAGATAATGCTTATAGCTGAAGAACCTCAGAAGAATGGATCTGAGGCTGGGAAGGAAGATCCTGAGGGTTTTGATCATGTCAACACAAGAAAAATGAACAGGCACCATCCTGGGTTGCTTGGTTAACCTCAGTAATGGGCCACAGCGAAGGGAGTGTGGCTTGGTGGGAAGGAAATTTGGAAAATTTCAGATCAAGGGTAAAGCAAAAAGTTCAACACAAGGGAGGGGATGTGGGGGTAGGGGTGTGAACTGTGATCTAGGGCTGGGGGACTGAGGAGTCAAGCTGCTAAACACAGGGCTCTGGGGGCATGGCTAAAGGAAGGGGTGGAGCTTGAAGGGGATTCCCACAGCCCTGCCTACAGGGAATCCCCTGACTCCCCCCAAGCTAGGGGTCTCTCTTCTCCACCTGCTCTCCTCCAGAGGCCCCTAGTTCCTTAGTCTTCAACCACTTTAATGAACCAACAGTTAACCCAACCTCAGATAATCGAAGCTATTAAATACAATCAAGTTTAATGATAAATCTAATAATTAAAATATATTTGTTTATAGAGTAAGATGTATTAATATAATTAATATTAACTACTAAAAAGCAATAAGCCTGAGTGTATACATTCAGCCCAGTTTGGTTTAAAAGCCATGCCCAATAATTTAATTATCATGTCTTTTGCACACACAGCAGTTCAGAGATTGCTCAGTAACCTGCTAGAGACTCTCTGAGCTGACAAATCAGAAGGTGAGGCAAGGCTTATGGCACCTGGAGGCAGGAACCACTAGAGTTGCATGGCAGGTGAAAAGGTGATGGAAAAAAGACATTTTACACTGAGGGAAAGGCAAGAATTTGGAATTTAGGGAGTGACCTCTGTTCATTCTATACCAACAGGTCAAGCAGTAAATTGTGTTTCTTACAGCCACAAACTTGCTCTTCTCTTAATCAGCTCCAAGGTAGACAAGCTAACACAGGAGGGAAGGGGTCAAGAGTGCAAGTTGGAAAGGTGGGAAATTAGGGGAGCACTGAGTTAACCCCTTTGTTTCTAAAGAGGCCTCGGCCCTGCACTTTGTAGATCTAACCATCTTTAGTATCTGCAATAAACAACAGCTCACATTTGTGAGCCCTTAGCAAGTCCCAAGAAACTAATCACTTTCTCACACATCCTTTTGTTCAATCCTCGTAACTCTCCTGAAAGACAGGAGATCCCCATTTCACAGATGAGGGGACTAAGTGGTAAGCTGGGATCTGACGCCCCAACTACTGGCATCCAGAGCTCATATTGTTGAAAGCTGTGCCAGCCTCCTGATGGAGAAGGATAAGCCAGGGTGGTTTAGAACCAGGCAGAAGAGATGTCCCCAGATGGTGGGACAGGGGAGGGAGATCTCATGTTCTGCCAGAGGGGTTGCTCAGTAGGGTAGGTGTTTCACTGGCCAGGTGTCTCTGCTTTGTGGAATCCATGAAATATAAAAACTGTTCTACAAAAGTGAAGTGGGATATTTAAGTTTACTCCAACGGTGCTTGATCTTTGAACAGAAACCGTGAAATCCAGCTGTATGAATTCTCCACCCTGGAGCCTTACTGTCAGATTGGTGGCCCGGTAGCTGTTGCTCTGAAACTGGACTACTGGTAAGAGCATCTCCAGGGCCAGGCAGGCCTCACGGGGGCGCTCTCTCCTGGCCACTGGGACCTTCTCTCCTCTCCCCTTGGGCAGTTCCATTCAATCCTGTTCAATCAGTAAATGTCAGGGCTTCCATGCAGCCTGTCGTGACCATGTCTCACATCATAGTACTACCCAGAAAGGAGGGACCTTCCTGCATCAAATCGGGAAAGGGAAGCCCAGAGAGGTGAAATGATTATTAGAGACATGTAATTATGAATTCATCTGTTTTAAATGTGACTGGATTAATTTTCTTAAAACTCGACTTTGACCATGTTACTCTGCTTTGTAATGGTTGCCAGTTCCCTCTCCAAAAATATCCACACCTTCAGAGAACATCTAACCCCCCCTGCCTTTTCAGCTTCAGCCCCTCTGAGTCTTTAGGCCTCCCAAGCACCAACAGAGCTAAGCAGAGACTCTCAACTTGGGCCAGGCATTGTCACCACTATGGTGCTCCTGGTGCTGCCCCCTTCCCCAACCATCCATCCCACCATGTTTCTTGAGACCCTACTAAGCACCCTCATTGTTGGATGTGGGACATATGCATGAATGAGACAAGATTCTTAGGGGCTATCACAGTCTCACAGAGTAGGTGGTTCCTGCTGAAATCTTACCATTCTTCATGGCCCAAACCTCCCTGGATTCCCCTGAATCTCCTCCATATCCAAAAGCCAACATCTCCTAGAGGCCTCCCCAACCTTTGGCACTGGTGTCCTGCATGTCACGAGGCACAGTTCCTGAGTAACTCACAGGCAGCACTGGTGCCTTAGTCTTTGCTGTGTGTTCTCCGACACCTACACACTGACTGGCAGGTTCATAGCAGGCTCTCAAGAAATGTTTGTTGAATGAGCAAGTCAGAAAACTCTTACATGAGTTTTATTTTGCCTTTCCCTCCCTATTCTTCCTTTTTCTTCTCTCTGTGTGTGTGTGTGTGTGTGTGTGTGTGTGTGTGTGAAGGGAGTCCTTTGCTATGGGCTAGGGATTCAGGAATTGAACACACAGGACACCTACTCTCAAGAGGAGTACAGTCTGGTGGACGTGAGTGTGTTAGTCTGCTTGGGCTACCGTAACGAAATATTTTAGACTGTGTGGCTTAGGGCAACAGAACCTAATTTTCTTATAGTTCTAGAGGATGGAAGTCCAAGATCAAGGAGTGGACCTGTTCTATTTCTGGTAAGAGCTTTCTTCCTGGCTCACAGATAGTCACCTTCTCACTGTGTCCTCACATGACCTTCCCATGATATGTATACATGGAGAGAGAGAGAAAGAGTGAGAGTACTATCTGGTGTCTCTTCTTATAAGAACACTAATCCTATCATAAGAATCTTACTTTCACAACTTCATCTACCCTAATTACCTCCCAAAGGCCCCGTCCCCAAATACCATCACACTGGGAATTAGGGCTTCAACATATGAATTCTGGGGGACACAAACATGCAGTCCACAACAGTGAATATTTACTGACATGGGTCGTGCTCTCTAATCATGTTATCTGTTTCTTGCTGAGGTGTTCATCTGGGATGGAGTCAGTGGTATTGGCTACACACCAGTGCCATCAACTAATGGGGTTGTCTGTTGATGATGTCATTGTTTGAGAGCCCCTCCTCTGTTGAAGGGCTATCCCAGGAGAGTAGGGGTGAGGTTTCAGATACTTCTCCGCTCCTATGATGTGGAGACTAGTTTTCTCTTTCTTTCTTTCATCTTCTGATGTTTAGCTTCCAGACACACCCAACAGAAAACCAATGTGAAACAGCACTTGTAGACCATTATAACTC